CACTGCTTCTGGAGCTTTGCTCCAGTAATCTAAGTGTGCTTCCAAAACTCCGCCAAGCAGGAATGGCGATGATACCAAACCAAACAATACTCTGGTGAACCGCAATACCTCCACATCAGCTAGTGGGTTTTCTCGCCAATGAAATCTCAGCGCATCTCTTTCACTCTCTTTTACACGGATCTGGAGAAATGCTTTCTCCATGTCACCTGTGATTGCTACTGGGAAACTTCGGGCTCTAACTAGTATCTCCCAAAGTTTGTTCTGAAGAGGGGGACCCGCGTAAAGACATTCGTTTAAGGATGGGCTTACAGGAGAGGCTTTCGCAGAAGCATCATATACAACTCGCAGCTTTGTTGACTGTGCCGACTCTCGTACAACTTCCTTGTGGGGTAGGTAGAATATTTTTCCTGTGGCTTCGTTATTGGCTGGTTCCACAATTCCTTGTTGTTTCTGCTGCTCGATCACTGTGTTGTAGTCTTCGATTAAGTCCTTTCGTTGCAGGCGACGTTCCAAAGATTGCAATCGACAGATGCTTCCCATTTCATTTGACGGTAGTGGTGAGTGGTTTCGGCGCCAAGGAAGGCCCGTCTCATACCAGCCCGATGGAGATCTAGTCAATTGTTCTTTGAACTCACTGTAGACCATAGACTGATCATGCTCAGCTGTATCTGCAAGTCCCAACACATCAAGGCGGCACAAATCTTCATAATCATTCTGGGATGTTTGAGTAAGAAGCATAGTGTTGTGGTTTAGCTCTACACCAGGGCTCATGGCGAACCATCCAAGTTTTGTCTTCTCAGCAATTGGTTGACCTTCGGTTCTCACTAGAGGATTTGTTCGGGTAATTGAGATTTCTTCGTCGACATCAATGAACTTTGCTTGTTTAAGGTGATCAAATTCACTTTGCAACTTATCGTAATGAGGATTGTCAACAGTGAGGAGCTCCCTCTTCTCGACTTTGATCAATTTTACATCCATTGTATAATCACCGTCCACTGACTCGACTTTCGCTTCGTATATATCCAGCCTTGTGGTTCTATATGTCAAAAGCATGTCAATTTTTGAGGTTCTTGACTCGATCGGTTTCACATTCAGCATGGAAGCAAGTCTGCCAGATATGTATGAGCTACCAGCGCCAGAGTCTATCAGTTCTCGACATGTTATCCCATTCACCTTGACTACCACAACAGGGAAAATTCCTTCAGCTGTGCTTCCACTTGCAGTTAACACTTTTCGTTCAGCAGTGGCTTTGTCATCTCGATCTTTGGCATCACATATACTTGTATGGTGGCGTTTGTTGCATTTTCGACATGTTGACTTACTAAAACAAGCATTTGCCCGATGTTGCCCTGCTGCACAATTAAAGCAAAGTTTCTTTTTTGCTAAAATTCCTCTTCGCTCATTGACACTAGTAACCACTTCACATTACCCCGTCTTGTGCTCGCCTTCAGAGTAGACACATACCCTTGTGGCTTTTGTTTGATAGACTTTACCAGGCTTCCCAAATTTCCCTGATGCATCCGACTCCTTTTCATAAACAGGATTTCGCTTGGTCCACTGTCTGATCGCTTTAGCAAGTTTTGCAAAATGCCAGCTCTCCCAGTCTGGGTCATCCCTTACCAAGCTGAAGCTTATCCAATGTCATAGAAACGTTTCCTTGAACATCCTTCAGTTTATTTAGTGTCTCAAGGGCTTGAACACCATAATTCAATTTCTCACTGAATTCTGCTATTTTCTTTGGGTTGGCTCCTGAAATGTGTGGCAAATCCATGATTATAGGCTTTAACAATCTTTTTTAACAATCAATTTTGCCATATTGATCTTGCAAAATTGACTTTGCCCGGTTGTATCCCTCCGCAGTAAATGGCAATGACTCTACACGGCGTTTAACTTTTGGTTCCAGAAACGCACGCAGATATGTAAATTTGTTGATAGCAGCTATATTTGACTTATCCAACAGGTTGAATGAATTTGGGAATAAGGAAATTGTACAGTAGATTATATATAGTTGGTTTGAAAGCGTATAGATAAAAAATTGCAACTATGTTTATATTAATAGCATTTCTACTTATTGTACTTATAATAAATATCGATGCGTCAGCAATTTGCCAATCCTATATTTTTATCACTATCAGGGCGTAGTAAAACACGGGCGGGGAAACGCCCTGATATCGCGCTGATCCATGGGTGATGCGCCGGAACTGTGGAAATAGCGCGCATTTCGCGAGGAATACAAGGAAAGAAAAATCATGGCGAGAAAAAGATTTTCCAACAACTTGGAAAGCGCAGCCTATTTTACAGTTTCTCATCGTTTAAGTACATAAAGAAACGAGGCGACTCTCAACCTCTCTATTTTACCCATGGTCGCAGAATGATGTCTAATCCCTAGGTATAGCCCAAGGTAAATTCAACATTATGGAAATCTGCCAAAATGCATCACCTTTACAAAGACCGACTTTAATATACAAAGACCGGAGTAGTAATACCCCCCATATAGCAACGGAAGTAATTAGTATGCAAGCTCTGGCGGCGGAAGTAATTAGTATGCAAGCTCTGGCGGCGGAAGTAATTAGTATGCAAGATATGTGACGCAACTTTGCTGGTCCTAACCCTAACCCTGTGACAGGTAGCGCGACCAATTAACGCGGGCAGGTCTGGGCCAACTGTGACAGGCAACAAAGCATTACAGTAATGAGATCAATTAGCGGCACAACACAGTAGCGCGACCAAACAAATTATCAGAGATTATAAATATCGTGTATCAAACACACGTTTCATTTCTCACTGTTGCATTTTGGCGAGTGGTCTCTGGTTTTCTCTGGTTCTGAAGTGTTCTCTGCTTTTGGATTGCGTTGGATTGTTTTTTAAAATGGCTCATTCAGTAAGTTTGTGTATTTGTTTTGAATATATGTTTACGATAGTTTCAGAGTCATAGGCTGAATAAAATTTGTTTTTGAATATATGTTTACAATAGTTTTAGATTAATATGTTTATGATATTTCTAGATTAATATGTTGGATCTTATCAAAGCTTGTGAGGCTGAAAGTGAACTCGACTTTCTTCAGGAGTCGTTTATGCTCACTGATGAGCAGAAGGAAGCTGTTCTTCAACAACGTATAATATTTTGGACGAACGCGATGGCCGAAGATATTGAACGGGAGAATCCGGTTGGAGTTGACCCTAATATGATGGCAAACTGGACCGAGGATCAACGTCGCCTGTTCAACGAAGACTGGGCCAATGATGATGGTTTATGCGAACTCGAACAGTTGCCAGAAAATCAAACGGGTGAAGGGAGCAAACGAAAGCACGTCAGTGGTGATGCCCCCTCAAAACGCCAAAGACCAGAAGAGTATTTCACTATTAAATCGGTGAAACAAGTTAACGTGAGGAAATTCAGGACGACAGGTACACAAACTGTTTTTATATTTTTAAGCGTGTATTTTTAAACGTAACATCAGTTACGTGAGGGATATAGATTGTTATGTGTGAGTAAGGTTTCGTTTTTATTAGGCTCCGCTTACACTATACCGGATTGCTATCGCAGTGGGTCATATTTGGTAGCTATCGAAAGGCAGTGAAGATTTTTAATCTCAGAGACTCAAATAAACATGTCAATTCTGTCAAACTAATAAGCATTTGCTACTAACTATTGCTCCGTAACGGCAAAAGACGTCGTCGTGACCAGCGAATCCGGTATAGTGTAAACAGAGGCTTATAAGAGTTATGTTTATTGCTTGTGTGTACCACTGGCTGTACAAACCTATCCAACGCATAGGCTTTTTATAAATGACCATAACTCTCAAATAAAGCTTTAGTATTTACAGGGCTTATGATTTGAATTGTAGCTAAAGTATAGCACTATCCGATAAATAGCCTTGTTTGTACAAACCACGACCTCCCGTTTTTTAGGTGGATTATTCTATATTACTGGGTAATCTCTATAATGATTATTGTATGTCCAATGAGTGATAGCTTTAAGGTTTGTTCGTTCGCTGCAATCAGATATATAAATCATGTTGTCCGTTAATCTCTCACTTTGGACATACGTTGCCATGAAAATAAGACGCAGGCCATGCACGTGTTTACACGTCCACAAGCCTAGGCCTAGGCCACCACTTGTATTGAACCCAGATTTCCAGGCATAGGTCAGGCCCCAATGCCAGGACAATGCCAAAGTCTGTTTACACTGTCAAAATGTAAGCCAACGTTAATGCAAGACACTATACTCATGAAATGTTGGGTGTTTAACCAACCATAGTCTTTCTGATTGCTATTACTTAGTACAATAATGTATTACGGTTTTTAGGTACAGACTACACTGTCCAATTCAATCCGTTGGACGTGCACGGGGTGTCAAACGTCATGTCGACGTTGAACCGCGCATTTCAACACTTATTTGACCGACTCACGAGTGACATGGCACCTCACGATCAAGTTCGCTTGATCCTCAACTCGAATCAGCTGGACAAATCCATTTCCTTGCCTTTCCTACAACGGGATCGTCTAACCCCAGAACGTTTCCTGGCGGCTGTTGAACGTGTTGTACAGTCCAATAACCAGTTTACTTTGGATGACTCTGTCAGCGTCAACGTGGTCCATGTCGAAATGCCTCAGGGTGGTTCTGGGCGTAAACGTGATGTTGTGAACCTGGAAAGCTATTTGACGAAAAAACGAGGCATAGTTCAAATCAAAAACAAAGATGATCTCTGTTGTGCCCGCGCGATCGTGGTGGCCAAAGCGAAATTGGATAACGACCCCCAATACAGAAGTATTGTTAACCATCAAAGGGCCATGCAAACTCGCTTAGCTCGAGAACTCCACGAGTCTGCATGTGTTCCTCATGGTTCCTGTGGTATCCCAGAAATCAAGAAGTTCCAAGCTGCTCTTCCTGGTTATCAGCTCAACGTGGTCTCTAAAGAACATTTAAACGCCATGATTTATTCCGGTCCTGAATCAGACAAATGTTTATACCTGTACCACCACGATAACCATTACGATGTCATCACCAGTATGCCTGCCTTCCTCGCCCGTACACAGTATTGTCATAAATGTAAGAAGGGATACGACAAGATTACTGACCATCCATGTGGCGATCTGTACAAGCTGTGTAATACCCAGAACTGTCCCATCGTTGAATGGAAATTTTGCAAATACTGTAACCGGTTCTTTAAAAGTGACGAATGCTTCAACCGCCATAAAGATGACGCTGGTC